GGTCTGTGTTTGCACATAGTCATACGTCTGTATTTGCGAATAGTAATACGTCTGTATTTGCGTATAGTAATACGTCTGTAATTACGTGTAGTAATACGTCTGTGTTTGCACATAGTAATACGTCTAAATTTACATATAGTAATATGTCTGTATTTGCGTATAGTAATACGTCTGTAATTGCGTGTAGTAATACGTCTGTAATTGCGTGTAGTAATACATCTGTGTTTGCACATAGTAATATGTCTGTATTTGCGTGTAGTAATACGTCTGTGATTGCGTGTAGTAATACATCTGTGTTTGTACATAGTAATACGTCTGTATTTGCGTGTAGTAATACGTCTGTAATTGCGTGTAGTAATACGTCTGTAATTGCGTGTAGTAATACATCTGTGTTTGCACATAGTAATACGTCTGTAATTGCATGTAGTAATACATCTGTGTTTGCACGTAGTAATACGTCTGTGTTTGCGTGTAGTAATACGTCTGTAATTGCGTGTAGTAATACATCTGTGTTTGCACACAGTAAAACGTCAGTATTTGCGTGTAGTAATACGTCTGTATTTGCATATAGTAATACGTCTGTGTTTGCACATAGTAATACGTCTTTAATTGCGTGTAGTAATACGTCTGTGTTTGCACATAGTAATACGTCTAAATTTACATATAGTAATACGTCTGTATTTGCGTATAGTAATACGTCTGTAATTGCGTATAGTAATACGTCTGTAATTGCGTGTAGTAGTACGTCTGTAATTGCGTGTAGTAATACGCCTGTATTTGTGTATTGTAATACGATGCTGCAACACAATATGCAGCAACATAGTATGTAAATGGTATTAAAACATTGACTACACACCGACGTACCAATGAATGAGAATAAAAAACAATACAGTAACAGTATCTATGTTGTAATAAAACACTGAGTATAGCATATCAGGCGATGACAATGAATATGACGTGTATTTATACTCACCCTGTGCTGTAACGGTGGATGTCACCATAGCAACAATAATCAAGACCAACATTATTGATTCTATATAGACAAAAAATATTAATAGCTGTAATTATATCTTTTGTGACAGACATAGACATGTTGAAGATTTAAAGGTATACTCAAAATAAGTCACATGACGTGGTCGCATAATTGAACAATGTAAAAGGCAAATATAATATGTTTTTTTATAATTGTATGAGATAAGTGATTCTAAATTGTTGATATGTTCTTTTGTAATAATCATTTAATAAGACGTCCTTTATACATTTACTGCATACATTCGCTTGTGGACAATACCTAAGAAGGCTTCTCTCAGTCAATATACTTTGGACAAAAGACCTAGTAAAAAAGAGACTATTTAGAAAAAAATTACAGTCTTTCATTGTAATTGTAGACACAATACGCTGAACGAAAAACTGCCCACTATTGAAAGTAAGCACCTCCCTGTTCTTTTTTCCATAACCATCATTATTATCCTGGATTGTACAGTTTATTCATTGGAAAACGCCCGCTTCTACTGATAAACAGTTTCTTTGTTGAAACCTGTTCTTCTTCACTCCTTGGCCACAGAGCTTTATTTCGAGATTGTGTTAACCATGGCATCAGAAACGCACCCTTTATACCATTCTCCTTCGCAGAGACTATGGGTCTTTTATTACTAAGCTAGGTAGTCGCCAGGGAACGCCCCCCCCCCCCAACAGTTGGGCTCTCTGTGGCTCCCTAGGCCAGGTTATAAGCTGGAAGAGGGAGAGTACCTATATACATGTTTTAAAACTTTTATAGACAGACTAACAACGCCTATTGTACGTTTGAATTGGGCATTACGCCCGTAGAATGCGTGCCTTAGAAGACCTTGCTGGTAGTGTATTGGCTTGCTTTTACCTGCTTTGTATGTCGTCCCAGTGCCAAACGCACAGGCGCATACTTTTCGATCTAACCGTAATGCAATCGGCTTTTCGATCGTCGTTATATCTGTTCAAATCGTCCAATTTTTGTGTGAGTTGCAGTATTTTTCATATTTCCCCCCGTTTTCCTCTACAATATTAAAGCATTGACGTCCATGATTAAAGCAATAACCCAATTTCCCCCCGTTTTCCTCTACAATATTAAAGCATTGACGTCCATGATTAAAGCAATAACCCAACTACCCTCCGCCGCGCCGAAGGCGAGTGTATTGATAGATACTAGTATTGTAAAATTCACGACATATATGTATGAACTTAGGAGCACGTATTCTAAACCATCTTTTATATGCAGACGACATAGTCTTGATGTGTCCATCTGTTGAAGCTCTACAAATGCTTGTGTCAATTTGTGAGAAATATGGAGTAGAACATGATAAATCTCACACTATAAAAACAAAATGTATGGTCTTCCTTCCCAGTGCATGGAAACATAATGGTATTCCCAACGTCTATTTGTATGGTAAATCTTTAGAATATGTTTCAGTTATCAAATATCTTGGTTACGTTGTGTCATCGTCAGGCAGTGATTGTCAAGATATGCAAAGACAGCTAAGGTCAATATATGCAATGGCGAATATGATTTTGCGTAATTTTGGTCTCGGTTCAGAGAATGTGGAATGTACACTTTTTAGAGCGTTTTTAAACAATATTAATTGTCTTAATATTTGGTGTAATTATAGTGTTCGGCAGCTAAAACAAAATGAAAGTTGCCTATAATAATGCCATACGATTAGTTTTTAAACTAAGACGTGCCTCAAGTGCTAGTTCTAATTGTGTCAGTAGAAATATTTTATTTTTTTCATCTCTACAGAGACAATTTTGTACAAATTTAATATGCGACTTTTTCAAAGTGAGAATGGTGTAATTTTCGATTGCATTAACTGCGATTCTTTTTATAAATCAATCTTTTTGGTACCATTACAGGCGTATTTTGAATGTTTATATGTTTGTTATCGTTTTATTTTAGTATGTTTCCTATTTTATTTTTACATTATGGGCTGTGTACCTGAAATAAAAAAATAATAATAGTATATACACGAGCCGTGAATTGTGCAATATCGAGTGGTATACACGACTTCGGCGGGAGGTTATTGTTATTATACTTATATCGCTGCTACGGGCACCGGTAGTTATCCTCGCAGTGTAATGACTCGTGACCGACACATTGTCCGTGTTCAAGATCTGTTTGTAACGTATGCGTCACACATAGTATTTGTGTATATTGGGCGACGGGCAACTGGGTATGCCCGTGTCACACAGCCGTATCAATAAGTTTTTTTTAAGTTTTTAATTTTTTTTTTTTTTTTTTTTTTTTTAATTTTGTTGGCGTTTTTTTTTCACGTTGCATAACGCCATTATTGCCTACCAAGAAGACACATTATAGCAAACGTTGTACTGTGCGATAACTACATTGTGTATGTTTTTCAAATAAACCACAATTATTTATGACGATGCGCTGTTTCGTGCAAGTACGGAACTAAATAAAAGCTCTGTGATGCAAGTAAAAAACTGCTTTCAAAACATTGCGTGGGTCCAGTTCTCGTTGAAAGTCTATGATTCAATAAACCCTTCCAAATCGGATAGGAATGCATGATGTTACGGAATTAAAGCGGGGGA